AGAGCTAGAGAGCTAGAGAGCTAGAGGGCGGTGAGTGAGAAGACAGTAGCTGGCGACGCCTCAGTGTATAGGCTTCCTCGCAGGGAAGGCCTCCTTGGCGGAGACGGGTCGAAGGCCTGGCAAGGCACATGCGAGCTTAGAGGCAGCGGCCGCAATCGCAGTGGCTCCGCCGCGGCTCCGCCTCCGCTGGAGCGACGGGCCAGTGCCGGGGCGGAGGCCGGCCTGCCAAAGATCCCGGATTCGCTGCCAAAAAACACGTCTACAGTACCGTCACGCTTCGAGCCTTTGGACGGCAGTGACGGCAGTCTGAATCTTCAGCTTGGGGCCCTGCTCTTGCACACCTGCGGCAGCTAAACAGGCAGCGCGGCTCGACAAACCCGATAGAGGCAAGGCGCCCAAAGTGGGGGCAGCCGAAGACGGCCTGTGCATTGGAGCAGCTCGCAGAAGCCGTTGCTCAGGCGACAGTCGAGGCAGACAGGTAAACCCTGTGGTGCCTGATGCGCCCCACCGCTCGCGCGCTCGCCCGGTCGGCCCGGTCGCCCGTGGCGGGGCGCACACGAGCCACGTGGCCTGGGCCATGTTCATGGCCGCTGCCTCCGCATGCGTCTCAAAAGCGCATGAGGCCGCGGCGAGGCCGAAGTGTGGTCACCTTGCGCCTGGGCTCCTGGACCTGGTCTCTTTCCTCCATCCGTCGCCGCTCCTGCCTGCAACGAGCCCAGAGACCCCGAAACCTCCATGCATCTTGGGCGAGGCTTTGTGGGTCCCCCGGCAGTCGCATGGAGGACGCGTCGGCGCTCTTCGGCCGCGACCTGCAAGGAGCGTTGCCGCGGCTGGCAGCGCTGCCAGAGCGAAGCTCGGCCTGGCCGCTTCGGGGAAGCGCCGCTCGCTGCGCCCCTCGCACCTGACACAAAGCTTCAGCTGTTGGATGAGCCATGATGAGCACCTGCAGCGCTGACAAGGGCCTGTAGGGCACCGGCCGCAGATCGACAGAGTCCGGTGGGTGAAGCCTGCAGTTGCGAGCAGCCAGCCGCAGCGTCCCCCCACCCTCGGCTTTGGACACTGAGGCCCAGGCGCTGGTGGGGGCTGCAGTGGGCTTGGAGCCTGCAGGCGACGACTGAGCCACATGATGCCCCGGCTTTGTGATCACAACTTCTCTTGGATTACATGGCTTCAGGATGCTTACGATGGCAACTCTCGTCGCCCGAGCTGCGTGGCCTGCAACGGCAGCGGGGGCTGCAGCGGAGGTCGCAGCGGCGGAGGAGGTGGGGGTGGTGGCACCTGTCGGTCCGACTTGCCTGGAAAACCAAACCGACCTGGCCGTTTCCCGCTCCCAGCTTAATGTACGTTTCCCGTAGTGTGCTCGGCTAGGAATCAACAATACCACAATACCATGCATCGCTGAGTTTCCCCCGGGCTGGTAAGCGTTGGGTTTGCTACTGTTGGGCTTGGGCTGTGAAAGCAACACAACGTCAAACCGTGCAAGAACGAGGACCAAGCCATTCTCCCCTCCGACAGAAGCTACTTTGCCTTCCTCCTCTTCCTCCCAATCCAGCTGCTCCCGATCAAAACCACCCCTTGATTACAGTGGAGAAAGATGTTGTTGTCAGCTTTCCGTGGATAATAAGCTTGGCCTGCCAAAAACAACATCCGATGTCTCTCTCTTAGACTCTCTGCTTTGGATTGCATTTTTCTTCCACAGGGCTTAGGGAGCGTGTCAGGGCCTCTCTCTCTCTCCCGGGTATTCAGGGGGCCTCCCTCCCTCTCTCTCTCTCTCTACCAGGATGGAGAGACTAGGTGCATCCAGGCCTAGCGCGCGCACCTGCAGTCCGTGGGTGTCTAACTTCTTCTCCCTGGGAATTTTCCCCAGGCGGCTTGGCTGTTCAGAATCGACATCCCTTCCGAAGCTGCAAGGTGGTGAGCGACAACAGGAGAGCTAGCAACTAATATATGCAGACTGCTCCCCCACCTTGCAGGCTGTGCGCCAAAAGGCGGGCGCGGCACGAACCAAGGCAACTCTGAAGCAACACACATGCACTGCCAACCTACAGGCAACCATATCACTCCAAGGTCCGGGCCGTCTTCTGGTGTTCTGTTCCCCCCTTTTCTGAGCGTTCTGAAGGCACTGAACTGACAGCTGGCTACTTGGCAGGTATATTGTTCTCGCTTTGGTTCTGGTACGAAGGTGTGTGGGGTTTTCGGGGGGGACACCTCAGGAAGCAACAAAGACCTCCCTCTCTCTCTCTCTCTGGGAAGCGTCTGAGGCAGGGCTGGGAGGAGGGGTTCACCTGCCCCCCTGCCCGGGCACATGTTTTTCCAGTCCTCTAAGAGGCTCTAGAAAGAGACATCCCAAGGCCCCTGCCACCCAGCGCGCACGCGCCGCCGATAGATCCCCATCCCGACCCGTCCCCGTGCGCCCCGGCCGCCTCCGTGCGAAGTGCTGGCCGAAGGGCCGCTTCCCGAAGCGAAGGAGCCGGAGCCGGAGCCTCGCAGAGGACCCGAAGCTCAGCTCCGCTCTCCGCGTGGCCCCCCCTCGCAGCGGCGCGCCTGCAGGACGAGGCAGAGCGGGCGCCGGCGGCTGGCGAGCTCCTCACTCCCCAGGTCGCGCGGCGAGCCGCACCCAGCGCTCCGGGCTCCTCCCCCAACTTCCCCCCTATGGCCTCGATCATCTCCTTCGCGGGAAAGCTGGGCCACTCCATGCCTCGCGCAAGCCAAAAAAACGCGCCGAGATGCGCGCCCCTCACTGCCTTGCATCTATCCTTGCAGATCTCCTTGCATGTCGAGCCGCGGCCGATCAGGAGCAGGAGGAAGCCACACCTGCGACTGCAAAGCAGATCTGATCAGTGTCAGACAAACAAACACGCGTGACAGGTCGCCTCACGCCGAAGGTCTCCGCAGGACTGCAGGGCACCACCCGGCACACCTGGCCGCGGCAGAGCGGCATACGCAGCAGCACCTCGGCACGGGACGGCCGTGCCTCCGGAGGACCCGCGCTGCGGGCGCTGGCCTTGGCCTGAGCGGAGTGGAGCATGCAAGTCGACCTCCGCTACCCAGTCCGGCCCAAGCGGCGACGATGCCCAGGGAGGGCGCCCCCGGCTCCAAGACCATCTGTTCGCAGCGAGGCCCGCAAGAAGCTGCCGCAGGCGCAACCCGCGCCTCCAAGCGAAGCTGCTCCCAGGGATGGCTGGCCACCTCGGAGAGCAGGCGCGCTCTCTGTGCTCACCATTCTGCTTAGCACTGCTCTGCCTGCAGCGGCTGTTTGGCGCCCGGCTCGCACGCGGACAAATCGGCGGAAGTCTCGGAGGCTCCTGCGAGACATCCGCGCTGCTCCGTGGCCCATCCCTTCCCCCTCCCACTGGGCGCGGCGCCCGCTGTCCAAGAGCAGCCTCCTGCCATCAAAGAGGCCGCACTCTATTTAACACTCTCCCCTTCTTCTTGATAAGACCGCGCCTGTTCCGGGCCGTAGGCGGTGGCCTCTTCGACAGCAGCCCCTCGCAGCCGTCAGCTTAGCACGGTCTTTTGGGGGAATCTCTTTTTCGGCTCCTTGCCTTGGGGCCGCCCTTCAGCGCGGCGGGCCGCTTTCGCTGCTCCTCCGCCGTGCCAAAAACGCGGAGAGAAAAAGGCACCGCGCACAAGCTGGGCTCCAAAGCTCCGTCAGTCCATGCGCCTCGGAAGTGGCACTGGAAGTCACCGAGGATCTCCATGAGCACGTCCCCTCTTGCCTCGAGGATCCGACCCTTGCCAAGAGTCACAAAAACGGGGAGCCGAGACCGGGGCCACGGCAGCCCCTCGCGGTAGGCCAGGACGCTGCTCCTGCGCAGCATCAGGGTGAGCTACAGTTATTAGAGCAGCCCCACAGCACAGACACCCAAAAGCAAGCGAAGAGAAGTCAGAAGTGGGTTAATTGCGAAGGGGTCCTGCGCTCCATGGCCAGGGCCACGGCCTCGGCCATGGAGAGCCGCTCGAGCCTTCGCAGCCTGAGCCTTCGCCGCCAGGCCCGCTGCAAGGTCGTCGCCGCCTCGCTTTGCCAGAGCAGCTCCTTGGCCGCCTCGCCGCGCAAACACCGGGGCAGCCGCGCCGCCATCAGCAGCAAGGCGCCGTTCACGCGCCTCTCCAGGCGCCGCAGCAGCGGCGTGGAGCAGGCGTCCAGCTTTGCGCGGACCCACGGCCTCGCGCAGATGCGCAGGCCGAGCCCTGCCAAAGCGACCAGAGAGCCGTCCAGCACCAGGAACGCCGAGCGCCACTTGCTGCCGACCTCCAGATGCGCCCCATCGAGCTGGAACTGCGACAGAAAGAAGTCGCTGGATGCCGGAGCGGGTGCAAGCTCCCGAAGAAAGCACGGCCAGGGGGTGGATGTCAAGTTGGAGCAGCCGCCGCCCGGGCCGCCCGGGCCGCCCGCCGCAAGCTCGGCATCGCCGGAGTCGCAGAAGAGCCGCGTCTGCGTGTTGTACCAGTCGCAGCAGTCCTGGGGGGTGTAAGGACAGCAGCTGAGGCCTCCAGGAAGCGGCAGTTCGGTGTAAGCCTCGCCCGGCGTCGCGTGGGAAGGGATCTCGAAGGGAGGCTGAAAGAAGCGCGCTCGTCGAAGCTCAGTTGGTAGCCTGACATCCACCTGAAAGAGACAGTTTGGAGTGGTCGGGCATGGGTGCAACGAGAACGTCTGATTTGGCCCCCTCTCTTCGTCTGGATACCCGTCTGGGTACTCGAAGCCGGCCAACACGCACACGCCCTGCGCCACCGAAGACAGCATCAGCAGATCTGCGAGTCCGACGAAGACCTCGGCAGAGGCAAAAGGCACCTCCTGATCTTTGCAAAAATCACTTCTGCTTCGGTTGCTTCCGATTCTTCATGCCTTTTGTCATGCTTCTTGTCATGCTTCTTGCTGGCAGCCGAGCCGCAATGACCGCGCCCGCCGTCCCGAGCAGGGCAGCAAGCCCAAGCGTCCAGCTGCGACAGAAGAGAGCCTGGGCTCGACGAAGCAGGCGCTGCTGCCCCTGGCGGCTGTAGTATCTCACTGTGGGCTTCTTCGGAGCGACGGAAGACGGGGCCAAGCTGCTCTTGGAGCTCTTTTTGATGGAGCTCCAACTCTCGTTCGTGCTCGGATTGCTCGGTGTGCAGGTCTCGGAAGTCTCCCAGGAACCGCTGTCGCTGGGCGGCTTATGCGGCTTCGGCGCGGGGCCCTCTTTCGTCGGCTCTTCCCGTGGCGAGAGATCTTGGGTATGGGTGGCGAAAGGTTTGCCTCCCAGCAGTGGGGGCGGAGGGATCATCGCGGCTACTGCGGCTACTGCCTTCTCTCATCCTTCCATCGCGGCAAGCTCCGATACCTCCATCCTCTACGTCCTACGAGTCCTAGGTCTTTGAGCAGCTGGCCTCAGGCTGGGATCTGATCTCTGAAGGACCGACACTCTGCGCGAAGCCTTGGCCGGTTGGCTCACGGCACTTCACTTCCAGCCCGGCCTGCACGTTCCAGCAGATGTTGGCAGAGACCCGCGGGACATCCCGCAGCCTGCCAAAAAATGGAGAGTGAATTTTGGCGCTCAGAAGCGAGATGGCTTTTTTGTGGCAGGGAGAGCCTCTCACAGAGGAGCGGCATGAGCTGCTTGACTGGAACTATGGTGGGATGGAACCTTCCAACACAAAACAAAGCAGTGCCGGCACAAGGTCCAAGGTCCCGACATCACACCGAGGCCCCAGCTGGGCAATACGGCCCAAGGTCCAAGCGATGGTGTCGCCTTGTTTTGTTAAAAAGCGGCGTTGAGAGAGAGCAAAGGAGCAAAGGAAGACTTAGAAGCCTCGGAAGCTCCCTGGGCCCCAAGCGAACGGCGACACTCTGATCCTGCAGAGCCAGGACCTGAAAAAGGACATCGGACATCAAAAAAGAGAGACGTCACGAAGTGCACTCCAAAGAAAGGAGCACCTGTTGCAAAGTCTGGGGCCAGAGCCAGGTGGCTGAGGCTCTGCTCGACCATCGGTCTCATCTTCTCGCTGGTCGGTCCCTGTTTTCGATGACAGTTTCTGTGGAAAAGGAGCCTGCAGGGGACCAGGCCTCCATGATGGAGCCGTATGCCAAGACCGCCGCTTCTCTAAACCTGCTGCATGCTTCGATGAATTTTTGAGTGTACTGTGACGGAGTACACTTAAGGTGTCAGTTCCAAGGAGCTTCCAATCAGGATTCTGGAAGTTGGTGTGCACAAACTGCAGCACCAGGTCCACGCAGCCATCTCTGACCACCTGCCGAAGGCTGCAAAAAGTTCGACCAGCGCGCGCGCGCATGGGCCGAGGAGCTCCGACCTGTGCCACCAGCGCCAAGCAGGTGCCTGAACCCGGCGCAGGCAAAGGAGGGAGACAGAGAAAGAAAGGGAGGGCCGGCCTGCGGCCATCGCCAGGTTCCAGGTGTCGTCGTCGTCCTCGCTCTGGCGCTTCGTCAGCGTCCTCAAAAGAGAGAAGGCAAAAAGGGTGGGATGGGGGCCCTTTTGCGAGAGGGAGGAGGCAGCGCTTGCCGGGGGGAGCCGGTTCTCTCGGGCACCAGCTCGGTCAGGAGCGGCACCAGGAAGCTCAGGGCCTCAGAGACGTTTGAAACACGTCGGAAGGGTAACCAACCGCCTTGTCCCCCCGCAGGAACATTTTTCTTTAATTGGGGAGTGTGTTGCAGGGCCTTGGGCACTGTGCATTTCTCGAATCCACTTTGCATCGAAGGGAGTTAGCACTGAGAAGTTAGGCCCGCCGTGGGAAGATTCGTCGGCAAATGAATGGACGATGCGCCAACCCCAAACGGATCGAAAACTCCTGATCGGAGGCTTCAGATACTAGTATGAGGGCTCTGCTGCACAGCAGCATGGCTCTGCCACGGCATCGATGCTACTCTTCCGCCCTACCCTCCCACCCTCTGCCCGCACCTGCTGGATGAGGTTCAGGGAAGCACGGCCACCCGCTTGGCCGGCCTCCACCAAATCCATGAGGTAGAGCTCCTCAGGCGCCCAGGAAGACATATCGACTCTCGTGAGAAAGAGTGCTGAAGGCACACCAAGCGAGTGTCCTCATCGCAAATGGTGGACCAGAACTCCATGGCTGGAATCGCCACCTCGACGTGGGTAGCGAAATGGGCGGGGGGCCCCTATGAGAGAGCCTAGGGCCTAAGGCCTCCCGCCTTTTCTGGAGATGACTTGATGGTTTCCCAGGTCAAAGGGCCCAAGCCATTCATGTACCTGCGCGCGTTTGAACGGCAGCCTGTCATTGGGGGAACCGCAGGCTGAAAAAGAGGGGCCCCCACGGCATGAGGAAGTCGTAGTACCTCGCTAGCCATCCAGCTACCGTGAGTCTCCGAGAAACCCTTCCTGCATCAGCAAGCAGAACTGCAACGCAGGTCACTCCGTTGCAATCTGCACGAGGCATTCAAAGGCTGCGATCTGGACCTGGGCAACAGCGACGACACAAGCCGAGCACAGAGAGGACCTCGAGACCTCGAGGACCTCACTTCGGGTGCCGTGTTGCAGCGGCAGGTCTCATTCACGACCTGTGCAAGACAAGAGCCGGGTCAAGCTTCGGCGATCCTACAGTAGCTGGCTCTGAATTCGACTCATGTCCTCTCAGGAAGGTCACCAATGTTTTCTACTACACTGCTACACGTCACTTCATGAGAATTTGGGCATCCTGCGCTGCAGCACTGCGCTAACCCACGACACGATGGCGGTAGCTGCAGGGACTTGCGCTGTCTGCCGCAAACGCTGACTCCTAAGTCTCCTAATGATGCGAACAGCACGAAGTCTGCCGGGAGGACGCCCATAATCACGTCGCGCTCGACTTGGTTCTTGAAGTTCCTCAGGAGAAGCACAGCATAAGCCTAAAGCATGCAGGCAAGCGGCGAAACGTCGGGACCCCGCTTTTTCGCCAGCACCACCGCGTGATAAAATGCTCGAGTCGCCTGGCGCATCTCAGGGTGAACGGGCGACTCGGGCGGCTTATGGCGGCTTATGGCGGCTTGGAGGGTGCTTCTACGCTTCCCGCTGGAGGGCCTCCAGCTTCGTCTGCGGCTCGGTGTCCCGCATTCCCTGAACAACCTGAAAGGTGCGGACTCGGACGAAGGCCCCATGGCAGGCCGCAGGTGCAGGAAGTCCTAAGCCCGTCGCAGCCGTGAGGATGTTGTTGGCAATATCATCCCCGATATTGGTCCCCTCCTCAGACTCTGCAAAACGGCAACTGCCGGCTTTTTTTACAAAGACCAGCTCCTCCTGCACGATCACCAGGTCTTCGCACAAGTAGCCCAAGCACACCAGTGAGATCTGGCCGGGACTCGCAATCAGGATCACGTTTTCTTAGGGCCCAATTGGAGGCGTCTCCGGCTTTGCCATGCTTTGCCTGTCTGGCTCTGACGTCGGTATTGGTCACATGGCCCAGCAAAAGTGGTACCTGGTAGCCGTGTGATAGCGCACGATGTAGCACAATGCACAAGGGCGATGAAATCTTGAAGACACACACTGGCCACAAAGGCATAGCTATGCCTCGATGGCCACGAGCTCTGCTACATGGTTCGAATTTTTTTGCTTGATGCGAGAGATTCTTAAGAACCCTGATGGCCCCCTTTGCTTGGACTCCAGACCGCTGCAAGATTGCGAGTTGAGCTTTCGGACCACCGTGTAGACAATTCGGCAAGTGCTTCCTCTGCACACTGCGAAAACATACTGCGCATGCAAGCGCGGCCACCAAAGTCAGAGTCCTTTGTGTTGTGGCAAAGTAAGCTGACCTCCGCTGTTCAGTCTGGGTCCTCGCCATGTCTTTGCGCAGCAAGGGCTTCGTAGTCCGGACAGTCGCTTCGAAAGATGGGTTTCAGAAGGGATCGGTGCTGGACCTGCGTTCAGATTCAGGAGTGGCGTCATCTGATTCATGCGCTCTCCAAAAGCTTGGCTTCGAGTGCTTTTTGGCAGCTGGAGCCTTGATAAGGACATGATTTAAGACCTGAAGTGCGACTGGCTTCTGCCAGAATGTGCGTAAAATCTAGCGATGGGATTAGAGAAGACGTGGTACACGTTCCAAGCTCAGAACCAGCATCCCTCACAAACATGTTTTGGACCAGATCCCGACGACAGTTTCGAATCTCAAGCGTGGGCGCTGCTGACGAGACTCCGGAACCAGGTGACAGCGTCCTCTCCAGACAAGACAACCTACTTTCATCCATTTTCAATGAAGATTTGAGCTAGCTGGAATCAGAAACTGCCGCAAGTGACGGCCCCAACATCATTGAATGCTCCTTTGTCTCGCTGCCGTCTGCCTTTCATCCACAGAAAGTCAATCTCGGAGCCGAGCTCGCAGAGTTCTTCTCTAAAACTTGGCGAGTACGTGCTTTGCATGGCTTTGCACGGCGGACACGGAGAGGTCAGAGTAAACAGTTTGCTTCGTGGGCTTTCTGAAATTTGCGTGCTTGAGCATTGCACGCCGCCACTTTTGAGATTCCGTTGCTGACCTGTCTTGCACATGAGCAGCCAACACCATAAGGTGGGTCAGGGTCGGGTATATGTTTTTTATATATTTTTTCACATATGTATGTATGTATATGCACCAACAGTGCAATCATGTGCATCTGTGTTTGGGATTTGCGCACGAGGCCCGGCCACTGCACCAGGGGAATCTCGATGGCACCTATCTTGGCCAAGACCTCACAAGGGCACCCAGCTTCAATGATCTCACCATCTGCACTTCGCATAGACTCCCACAAGACGTCACAAGACTTCTGGCCTGCGCCGACGCCTTGCCCACATCCGTTTGCGGGCTGATGAGCGCGGAGGTGGTGGCCTCTCAGCGAAGCCACGGGCTTTGGGGGGGGGGGGATGAAAGCCGAAAAGAAAAGGGCGCCTCCTTGACCAAGTTCCGGCTTGCGGCCGGCCTCTCCCCGAGTCCAAGCACGCGACAGACGGAAGCTGTGGGCAGAGTCGAGTTTTTCAGTCCCGAGCAGGTTCGCCCATCTCGCTTTCAGGTCGCGATCTTTCGCGGGATCCTGCGAAGACGCAGCTCGGCTCGGCCCGAGCCCAAGGCCCCAAACCGCGCGGGGCGCCCGATGGGGCGGCGCCTTGGAAGCAAGGGCGTTCTTCAGGAGAAGTCCTGCGCCAGGAAGGCAAGGGGGGGTGGGCTTTGCGGCACAGTTGCGGCAGGACGGTGCTCCTGCAAGCTGCCGAGCAACGACAGGCTTCTCCGTGTTTGCCAGCTCCTGACAAGTGAAGCCCCTCTATGATATGGGGAAGTACATGCTTGCCCCTAACGCACATGCATGTCCTGTGCAAGGGCTGTAAAGTACCTGGACAACAGTTGCCAACAGTTGATCCGATTGACCAGTACATCGACATCATGCAGTGCCCTACACGATGTGGCTGAAAAGCAAACTGTCAAAACTGAGCTCGCCGTGTCTTCCCAGTCGCTACTCTCCCTCTCTCTCGGCTGCGTGCTGGTCGACGCTGGCCTGTTCAGCCTGGATCATGCTTCACTGAGTTCCATCCCGACATGCTCCGAAAAATTGCGGACTGCAGTCTTGGCCTGTCGAATCTGCGCTTCTGCTTGGGCATTCTTGGACGGGTCCTTTGTTGGCGACAGAGACAGAAGACCACGATCTCCACACGCAAGGGTGCGAGCAAGCATCTAAAGTCGCCAGCAGCAGCTCGGTGAGACTCCCCATCTTGCCTCGAAAAAAAGGACGAGCTCACACCGACAGCGCGAAGCTCTGCGAATGGAGTTGAAATGTTGGGCTTCTGAAGGCACGGCGCACGCTGGGCGTCCAGGTGCAGGGCTGGCGCGGCAGCGTTCTAAGTCTCTGCAGCAGCTATGATGCTCTAGAGTCTGGGTTAGGGCTGGAGTTGCTGGGGTGTGGCTGAGGGGAGCTCGGGGTGGGGTCGGGTTGGGTGCGGGATAGGGTTGGGTGCGGGGTTGGGGTGCGGGGTGGGTGTGGGGTGTGGGTGAGTGTGCGGGTTGCCCCGAGGTTCGAGTCAGGTGGTAGGGTGATTTGTACTGCCACGCACCAGTGTGCAGGGACAAGCATGAGCCAAAAACTACCAATGCTGTGAGGTGTGCAACAACATGTCCCCAGCCAAAAAGGTCACAAAGATCACTCAAGGACTCCGGCAGAAGAACCTACGAAGGTCCTGTTTTCCAACGCTTCGTCACGGGCCCGCAGGATCACTCGTTCAGCGAATCCGCGCATCACAGGTCGGACATCACGATCTTTTTCTGGCAGGCAGAGCAGCTCTAAAGCTGCGACGGAACCAGCAACTCTCCCGGCCTTTCCCGAAGGATACAGTTGGACCTCTTCTCCTGTGCAATGCCGTGCTGTCCGGCGGGTCTTTGTTGTTGGCATCCCAGGAGAGAGACCCCGCCTGAGCGCGCCTCGACTCGACGTCGTCGGACGGGAGCTGGCAACAGAAACACAGCGCCAAGAGAATGCGAGACGCCCTGCGAAGCGGGAGCGCGGCTACAGCGCAGCATGGGGGGGCCTTCCTGCTCCGGAGCTGGCCTCGAAAGTGTCACCGAGCGTGGAGCTCGCAAAGCCACAAAAGAAAAAGCAGCGAACTTCAAGGCCCGGACAGGTCCGGCTCGCCTGGACGGCCAAAAGACACTGCGACTTTCGGAAGGCGCGGGGAGTAGCAGGAACCCGTTTGGGGAGTAACGGAAACCGGTCGTAACGGGAATGAGGGCTAGTAGAAACAAGAACCGTTCCGGGACTCGGAAAGCCAAGCAACCGAAACTATGCTGGAACTCCCCGGTCCGCTACTTAAACACCATGAAGCCAAAGGCTGACGCCTATGTTTCGTTTGAGGCATATCAAGGTTGGGGTTGGAACAGATTCACGGTTTGGGATATAGGATGCCAGTGCCAATACATTCTTTGTCCCTGAAGCCACAAGTTGTTCCTTCAAAATGGTTTTGTCGAAGGAATATGGATGCTTTATCTTACAAGAAGGTTGTCGTGCTACTACCATTGGTGGCGGGGCGAGGCTTTTGCACGCCATCGTGGACCGACCAGTGCCAGCTTGGCTTGCTTTCTGGGTTGAGGGTTTAGGCTTGCGGGTTTTAGGACTTTGCTGATGTAGAGGTATTTAAGAGGTTTAGGGGTTCAGGGGTTCAGTGTTCTAGGGGTTTAGGGTTGACGGGTCAAGTTCAAGGGATCAGGCATTTGCCAGTCGAGACCGGCTTTAAACGCTCGAGAACGGCTTTGGGGGTTTGGGGTTTGACTACACGCAGGAGCTTTCGTCATACGATCGTGCACACCAGTCACGAAATTTTCAGTTTCACTCGCAGCAGACACATGCAATGCTATTTCGGAATGTTAATGGCAGCACCGATGCTGTAGCCATCGGAAATTCAGGACAAATTCTGATGTCGACATATGAAGTCAGTTTCTAGCGCTACATGAGATGACGTGTTGAAGCCGTATAAGTGGGGGACTGGAAAGCGGTCCCTGAGTTGGCGAGCCCACAAAAGCAAGTGGATGCCCTGCTCAGCCATACCTTCCACTCATATTGATGTCTCTGAAGGCTGTAGTTCCTTGTTCAGTCCTTGTATGCGTAATATGTACAATTAGCAACACGTCAGTTGCATGACCTGCAATCTGCCTCTGCATGGCTGCCCTGCTGCTAAGAGAGCGGCGGGAACTGACAATTTACAATGGACTGATGACTGGATTGCAAACGGTCTTCCGCTATATGATGCACGACACTGCTCGATCACTGTCGGGTCACTGCCAGACCAGGTTCCCTTGCTCCGGACTGCGTTTACTTAGTAATAAGCAGCGCACGCAACACTTTTTGAACGATCCACCTCGCTGAGGCGTCTGAAACGCACGAGTCCAGCTCTTATCGAGGCTCTGGCTGAGCATTGCTTCAGAGAGGGCAGCCATCAATGGCTATCAATCGGTTCTGCCCCGAAGCACTCGCTGACTCGGGGGTTCCTAGTGAGCACCTTCTGAGTAGAACATACCTCAGCCGCGCAAGGCCATACAGCGCGGAGGAGAAGAGTTGAACGTTAATCAACTCAAAATAATTGCACTCTGAATTAATGCCGGCCCCTCACGTCAGGCCGGCTGCACTGCTTCAAGGCGGCTTGTCCCTCTTGCGAATCTTTGGACTTGAAGCTTCTTGCGCCTGGCCGCTGGAGCTGGCAGCAGCCTCCTGGTCATCGGTCTCGTCGTGCGAGTTCAACCACTGCCTGGTCGCTGGGAACCTGATCCACCACCAAACAGGCTGGAACCGCCCTTGTTGCAGCATAGATGGTACCCCCGGCCATCTGCATGACATGACCATCGATGCGCGTCACCTTGCCGTCACTGCCTCGGAGCGTCGTTTTGTCCTTGCCTCGCGCGTCCTTCAGCCGAGTCTCCAAGAAAAGGTAAACAGGCCCGAAACGGTTGCTGAAGTTCCACCCCTGCTTCACGACCCTTCTCGGCTCCACCTGACAAGCCACCCTAAACCCTAAACCCTAAAACCCTAAACCCTAAAACCCTAAACCCTAAACCCTAAACCTTTTCCCTACAACCCTAAAACCCTAAACCCTAAAACCCTTCTGTTTCTTTTGATAAAGTCAAAAATGCAAAGCACTGTCTTTCTGTTGGATTCTAGTCTCTTTGTCTGGCTCCTGGATTCATGCGCAGCCTGTGCTTGTGTGTCTCTCAGTCGGTGAGGAGGTTCTCTTGGAAGTCCCAGCACATTGGCTTATAACATTACATAAACATAACACACCCAACCGACGCCTTGCAGCCCTCGACTGTCTCCTTCTTGCCGTCTGCACCCAGGTTCATTTGACTATGGGGCTGTCGGGAGGGTAACTGCAACCCAATCCAATTCACATCCCCTGTCCCTCTCAAAGAACGACCAAATCAAAAGAACAGACTCCCTGCAGGCCAACCCTGCAAGGTTTCCATAAATCCTGTTTCCGAGTGTCTGACCGATCGCCAGGCATCTCTCTAGCTTGCACAGGCAGAAGGTGGCCTCACAGATCATTGGGTGATTCTGAATTAGGGTTTAGGGTTTAGGGGGTTGGGCGGGAGGTTTTGGCAATTCTTTCAATGTGCTTGGGCATGGCTGGCCAGCCTGTAAATCCTTAGGGTTTAGGGTTTTGGATCAAGTGGTTTAGGGTTTTAGCTCTGTGCTATCGCAGCACAAATCAACTCTCACATGCTATCGCAGCACTGTCCTTAGGGTTTAGGGTTTAGGCTTTTGGATTTAGGGGTTTAGGGTTTAGGTCTGTGCTATCGCAGCACAAATCAACTTTCACATGCTATCGCAGCACTGTCCTTAGGGCTTAGGGTTTGGGATTTTAGGGTTAAAAAAGTCCTTCCAAACATGAATGCTGCGGCTGAGGTCTCCTCATTTAGGGGTTTAGGGTTTAGGGTTTAAGCCTAAGCCCTGACAAACCTTAAACCCTAGCAAACCCTAAACCCTAACAAAACCCTAAGCCCTAACAAACCCTAAAGAATCCGAAACCAACACCCCGACACTTCAAGACTACTCCCTGTACTAAAAACCTCTCAATTTCAACACTTTTTGCTCAATCCTACACTCACCTCCACAACCCACCCTAGAACCTTCAACCCTTCATACCCTAACGAACCTTAAACCCTGAGAAACCCTAAACCCTGAACCTTTAACCCTAAACCCTGCACCCTAAAAACCCGAAACCCTAAATGGGTAAAGCGCAGTGCAAGGACGGGGAGGGGTCTAGCCTCGTCGGAAGGTTCTAGTGCGGCTATGCTCATTTGCAAACTCGGCCACTTCTGCAAAGGTGGGAAAGAGCCACGACATAGCCCAAAGCTGCATTTCCGGCTGCTGCACTCGATGCTCCAGCTCGGCTTCCTCCGTGCGTGCTCGCAGCTGCTCTGCGCAAAGCTCTTGAAGGCTTCCTTCAGATGTTTCCAAACCTGTCCGCAAGTTTTCCACCGAAAACTTGAAAAGAGCATCGTGAAATCTGGGCAGAGCACCGGTCCTGCTGGCAACACCGAAACGATACCGCTTCAGACTTCTCATCTATCCACCAGGAAGACAAACACCTAGACCTAGCATTTATCGAAAGTTCGAAGTCTGAATTTGAATCATTCCATGGGACTGGTGAACTCGAACGGCACCGGCGTGATTGGTACTTTCGGGAGATCGGAACATGGGATGGACCCCCGTAAGATGGGACCCCAAATGGTTTGCACTCGGGGTTCGGGCAAGGAAACGGCGTGTAGGATTCAGAGTATAGGGCTGTACTATGCTGTAATGATACTAAACCGGACGGTCACCCCCAATTTAGGGTTTTAGGCTTTAGGGTTTAGGGTTTAGGGTTCCCTCAACCCTAAAACCCTAAACCCTAAAACCCTAAACCCTAACACCCTAAACCCTACAATCCTGAACCCTAAAACCCTAAACCCTAAAAACCCTTCTAGTTCCTTGCTAAAATCCAAAATGCAAAAACACTGTGTTTCTCTTGAATTCCAGTCTCTTTAAACCCTAACCAACCCTGAACCCTAACAAACCCTAAGAACACCCTAAACCCTAACAAACCCTAAAACCTAACAAACCCTAAACCCTGACAAAACTTCAACCCCAACAAACCCTCGACCCTAACAACCCCTAAACCCTAACAAACCTTAAACGCTAACAAACCCTGAACCCTAACAAACCCTAAACCCTAAACCCTAACAAACCTT